ATTATAAATTTCTTCTTTATAAGAGAATCCCATCTACTCTTTGGTTTCATTTTAATATTATGTTATTTTTTCTTTTTTCATTGATTATTGGTCCTAATCTATTAATACTAAATTACCATTTATGTGAATTAATTTTAGGATACAAGATCTTATAGGTAACTATAAAGCCAAGTTTGATCAAATTCCATTTACATATTAAAAATTTTCACTTAGAAGATACAATACATATATTTTATTTAAATTATTTGATATAATTTATGGTGCTTTTATTTATATATGATGGGCCAACCTTTTTTTTGTAATTATTTTTAAAATTTGTAATAATAAATGTTTTTTTCATTTTAACTAAGAAAGCATGAACTTTTTGTTTAGGCTTTTCAAAATGAATGAAATATTTATCGCAAATATCAATATTCAAATGATTATATCAATCTGTAGAGTGAAAGAATTAATAATATAAAATTATATCAATTTGTTAGAATAATTTCTTAAACATTGACAGGAAACTTAGATCAATTGTTTTATAATTATTTTTCTTACCTCATTTAAGCTCCTTTGATATTTATAATTTGCTTTTTAATTGCTTCAACACCTGCAATACTTAATCTTCATATATGAATTATGTATAAAGAAAATAAACAGACATATGTAATCACTACTTGCTTGAATAAGGCAAATAATAATTTAGATTTTCTATCTATATTTAAATTAACACTATTAATTTACAAAGCTTTCAGCTTCTTTCAAATAAAAATTAATTTCTATCAATCCTTACATCTATCTTTTTAATTTCCCTTTATATTCAATGAAGTAGTTGCTTTTTGTCTTAATAACATATTAAAACAATAAGTTATTTATATCATTTAAAAAAAAAATTCATTCAATAATCTTCAGGTGATTTATTCCATTTTTTCAACATATAATCCTTTAAATATCTGTTTGTTATAGATTTGAGTTGATAAGGAGCTTTGTTTTTCAAAGAAGATTTTTTAACAATTAAGATACAGATTTACTATCATTTTTAACTCTAAAATTAATTATCATTTTTCTAAGTATTATTTATCGTATAATAATATTTCATTATATTTTTTAATTTTATGATTCATATAATAATGTAAATAGTTCTTGGTTATTAATATGTTATTCCAATTTGTATTTTTCTAAACTTGCTGTATATTAATTTCATTCAATGCCTCCTTTATGTAGTATTTATTGCT